AGCCTTGCTGGCTGGGGAATTCTGGGAGTTGAAGTCCATACATCTTAAAGTTGTTGAGGTTGAGAAACACTGATCTAGAGAAAGGCTCCAGAGTTTCTCCTCTTTTATATCTGATTTACTTCCCCCCTCCCTTATTTTTACAAGCCATTTTGAAAGTTTTGAAGTTGCTGAGGTTGAGAAACATTGATAGAAAGATAGGTAGGTAGGTAGGTAGGTAGATAGATAGATAGATCGATCGATCGATCAAAAGGGGGAACATATTCTTCACATGAAGCTTGATTCCTGGAGACACACACAGAGATGATGTTTCAAATATTTTAAAGGAGGGGAAGAAAGTATGCTAAAGGGGGTCACTGACAGACCAACTATAATCCAAGAAAAAAAATGATTTTTTTTTTCTGACTGTAATCCCCAATCCTTTAGCACCCATGGGTGCCTTCTTCCAAACTCAGCCATTAGCTCTTTCAGCATCAGATGCCCACTCTGAACCTTGAGGTCCTTTTCAGGAGAAATTTTATTTATATTTATTTATTATTAAATTTGTATGCCGCCCATCTCCCCGCAACGGGTGACTCTCATCTGTTTCTCCCTGAACCCAATCCAGCACCCATCGAAATAAGATAAAACAATAAGCCTGTTTGGAGTTGTTTAGTTCTTGGATGGGAGACCACCAGATATCCTAGGGCTGAAAGCTAGAGTAGGAAGTAGAAAAATACATTTTGGGAAAATATTGGAAAACCCCTGCTGTATTGCTGCCAGGAAAATGGCATGGCCATGTCATAATCTCTAGGTGTTGTGCTTCCTTTGAATTCTTCCTTTCTTCCTCCATCTTCATTTTATTGATCCAGTTTGGTCTTACTGGGTTAGCCTTTGGATGGGAAACCACCAGGAAATCTGTAGGCTAGACTGGGAAATGAAAATAAAATCAATAAACAAATAGCAGGGGCAAACTTTTTTGGTCTTGTTGCCAAGAAAATGGTGCGGGCACCTCCAAAGGAACCCATCTTTTACTAACTCCTACACTTCTTAAGTTCTGTGTCTATGCAAGTATTTATTGGTTATGTTCACACAACATGATCACTGAATAAACCCATTTTCTGAGTTCACACGATACATGAAGCCATGAGCTCAGCCAGTGAGGCTGCGTTTGCCAAACAGACTAAGGCAAACCAGCAAAACACGTGGGAACGCATCTGCTAGGTAGTTAAGTGACCCAGTTAAGCATGTTGTGTGAATTGATCTGTGTCAGTGTGTGTGAGGGAGAAAGGCAGAGGGGCCCTTGCTGTCTTCCCAAGGGGGACTCGAGAGATCGCGAGCCCCAAACTGGCAAAAGAAAATATTTCTTCGTGCAGCGAAGGTAGGGCATTCCCTGCCACAAGAGTCTAGCAAAGGGAAGTCATCCACGGATGCTAGTCCTCATTGCTTAGTGGAATGTGCATGTGCCGGAGAAGTACAACAAGCAACTGGGAATGGTGGTGGCCAGCTTGACCCCTGCTTAGGCCTCTGACTAACCTGGGTTGGACCCGGGATACTGGTCCTCACGGGTCGGTATTCTTGCTCGGATCCCCATCCTACCTTTTCTTGAGGACCTGGCCTAGGTGACACTCCCTCGTCCAACAACCCTGTGAGGTAGGCAGCTTCAAGCTAGTGAGTGAGGAGCCCAGCAGCTGGGTCCCCGCCGGGCCCTGAAACCCGAACCAGGCAACCCCATCTCTGGCTAGTTAAGGAGACTGAAACCCCACTCGGAGGTTCCCAGATGAGCTCAAAACTCCCCGCCCTAACCCGGATTCGCTCCCACCAGCCCGTTCCCGTCCCGCCAGCCTTTCCCGTGTCCTTCTGCGGATGCGGTCGAACTCTCCCCGCGAACTTCGGAAGGGGTGTGGAAATTCATCTGCCCACCTCTGCTCGGCGGGGGGGAGGCGGGCTGCCACTTTCCCCGCCCCCTGCTCGCCGGGGAAGCCCGGGAAGGGAAGGCGGGCCCGCGTCCGCCCCGCTCGTTCCCTACGGAGCGCACGGCCCGCCTAG